CCTCGCCAACAAGCTTGTAGACTTCAAGCTTTCTGGAACAGAGCAGCACCAGCCTAAATCAACTGCTGAACCGGTTTCTCCACCAGATGAGTTCCCACACACCTGTGCGTCCTGCAAGAAGACCTTTCGCCATGCAGCCACCCTCAGCCGGCACCAGAAAACTCACATTCCGGAGGTCCAGCCAGAGGATGGAGGCAAAAAGGGAAGACGCCAACCTGCTCCTCAAAACCCAGTCACAGCGCCCAGAAAGGAGCTGGAGCTGGAGCTGGAGGCAAAGTTAGAAGATGATGAAAAGGACGAGAACAGCAGCTGTGTGGAAAGTGGTGCTGATGAGGAGGAGAAGGAGAGGGAAGAGATGAGTGATGATGAAGAAGAGGCTGCTTCCTTAGAGCTCAGGGCTTTGGAAGAGGAGGGCGACCCTGCTGGAGGCAAAACCGACAAGAGGAAGAAGATCTGTGCTGTGTGCAGCAAACGCTTCTGGAGCCTGCAAGACTTGACCAGACACATGCGCTCACATACTGGTAAGATCTGGAGCATTTTACTGTTATTATTTACTATCCTCAATTTATTAAAGGGATAGTTCACCCAAAAATTCTGTCATTAATTACTCGTCCTCATGTCGTTCCAAACCTGTAAGACCTCCGTTCATCTTCGGAACACAAATGAAGATATTTTTGATGAATTCTGACAGCTCTCTGACCCTCCCATAGACAGCAATGTAATTACCACGATAATTGATAATTGCGTAAACAATGTAGAAAACGTATCCGCTTGGTGCAGCTGACACAGAACAGCATACGTTGTTTACGTTCAGTGGATACTCTCCAAAATGGCACCAGGGTGACGCAGAGGAGACAAATAGTTGAATAAAGTCGTTTTTATTTTCTTTGCGCACAAAAAGTATTCTCGTACCTTCGTAAAATTACGGTTGAACCCCTGATGTCACATGGATTATTTTAACAATGTCCTTGCTACGTTTCTGAACCTTGATCGTGGTAATTACATTGCTGTCTATGGGAGCGTCAGAGAACTCTCGAAATTCATCAAAAATATCTTCATTTGTGTTCCGAAGATAAAAGGAGCTCTTACGGGTTTGGAATGACATGAGGGTGAGTAATTAATGACAGAATTTTCATTTTTGGGTGAACTATCCCTTTAACACAATTAAAATATAAGAGTTGATGCATCTAACATGACCCTTGTTGTTGTAGGTGAGCGGCCTTATAAGTGCCAAACCTGTCACCGCACCTTCACCCTGAAGCACAGTCTGGTGAGGCATCAACGCGTCCACCAGAAACCCACAGATGAGGCAGAAATGGATGGAGCAAGAGATAACGGCGAAATGCTGGAGGGAAAAGAGGTTAGGTGTTCATCTGCAAGTCAAAGTGAAGCAACAGCTCCAATCCAGAGTGAGAATGAATGTGAGAAAGCAGGAGCACCTCAAGAAGAAGAGAGTGAAGGACATGTGGAGGAAAATCAGCATCCTGAAGATTCATCCATGGAGATGAATTCTGCTGAAGAACCTCAGCTGGATGGGGCTGAACAGGAGGACCATCAAACATCAGGCTGTGATCCAGAACTTGCAAAAATCAGTGTCCATAGCTGTACAGCAGCTCAGGAAATGACGGAGACACCCGATCAGTGAAGAGAAAATTCACTGTTGATTTTGTGCCATAGTTTATCAAGCTTCCACAAACACTAGGAGTTGCAAAGCCTGGCTTCTGCCGATATTTGTCTTATACAGTGTGCATGACCGATCGCAGCACAGATTTTGAAGCACAGTGAGCCTTCTGATGCCTTAATGCTTTTTTCTAAAGATCTGGATCAACACATAACTGGACAGTAGCAATTTTAATCCTATTTATATGATTTTTAATGAATCATATAAAGCCTTTATATCAATAAATTAGAAGCATTTGTATGATGAACAGAAGATTTATATATCAGCATTAAATTGTATTATTCTTAAGTCAGTTTCTGTATGTTTTTAGTATCTGTATGGAGTTGTTTGGTTTCTTTTTTTGTCTTATGGATTTGAAGAGCTTAAGTGCCTGACTCATTTTCATTTTCAAGATTGGCTGAATACATTTTGGATAGAATTGCTGTTTAGCTCTGTAATTTTTATTTTGGGTGATCGTCGGCCAATCAGTTTATCGGCAATATTTGCCCATTCTTTGTATATTATCCTCCAGCTTTGAGCCTCATTGACAAATGTTGCAGAAGACATGTACAAGTGGCTGGGAAGCTTGAAACAGCGCCTTCTGGTGGCGTAGAGTGTGAAGTATTATATTATAAGGCCTGTGCATCAGAGAGAAGAGTGCTTCTGAGAGTCATGCATTATGTATTTAATGTCAGTGTGATTCAGAGTACATTTTATGTATCTTTAAAGTGTGATTTGCCTTCTTGGTTTTCCCCCTAGGATTCATTTTGACTTCAACACTGGTGATCACACTAAAAATCCAACACTTTTTTTTTCTTTTTATCCGGTAGATATCGGTTCTAAAAAGGAATCTAAAATGTATCCCTTATACTGGTTTATGTAGAAGGGATATCAATCTTCCCTAAAACAAAACAAAACAAAAATTGTACAGTTTTACATTAGTTGTTGCAATTAAGTGACTTGAATAACCCCTGAAGCCCACACAAAACTGCATTTGAGATTCAATGAATTTGAAGTCCTCTCAGTGGCTAAATGTTTGCTAGTTTTCATACATTTTGAAAGCTGTGAGTCTTTGGATTTAAAACCAATTGAAACATTGTAAATGAACTGGTCTTTATATTTGTTGAAACACATTTTTCTTTCTTTTGTTTTTGTGTAATGATGTTTGTACTTGTAAATGTGTACAAGTGCGTGTGGGTGTGCACAGTCATATGGATAGAAAACACTGAACATTTTATGCAGGTATTTATTGATCAGTCTAGAGTGTGTGGATGTAATTTTGAAAAGCCATGTAGAATCCAATTTGTGCAGCGAGGAGAATCAAAAAGATGAATGTTGTTCGAGATTGTGAGGTTCTCTACATTTTCAGAAACTTTGTACATTCAGATGCTTTAGATAATTATATCTTTTGTGTGTCTTTTTGTTTGTCAGCTAATGAAACCTTCTACCAGTTCAACTATCTATTCATTTGAGAGCATTGAACCATAGAGTATGATTTGATGAGTTTGACATTATGATTATAAAAAGAATGATTTTTGCATGTTGATCTAATTTGAATTTCTCAGTTATTCTCTTTCTCAGGGGCTTTTCAAAATCTGTGTATCTGTCTGGTGTATAAAATGCAAGCTCTGTTCACTACACTACATTTAAGAGCATTTGACTGAATTTGGTCTCAGTATGTTTAGGCCTAATTGTACCAACCCTTTTCTGCAAAAATTCTGCAGATTATTGTAATTAATTCAGATATCAGTGACCATGTTTGTCAGATGGATTGCAAATACCTGTCAGATCAATTCAGATGTAGAGTAGACAACTCATTGATTTTGCTTTTTTCACCTTGTTTTTTCAACCCTGTAAAGCGAATAAATCATCCAATCAATAAATGTACACTAAGAAAGAGTGAGAAATTCAGTTTAATTTTTTCTGTCTATATTTTTTTCTTAATTAAAACTTTTTATATTATATTAACATTAATATTATTATAGTATTATTCATATTTAATACTATTATTATTTAACTTAAATTATATAAAGGTGATTGTGGCCAGTAATTAGTAATTGTTTGATAATTGTAAATAAAAATGTAGTAATGTAGTATTAGCAACGTCATATCAACCATCCAGAACATTCTAGCAACCTCTCTGCCTACATACGTTTGATATCAGCAATGTATCTTTATGAAGTACAATAATTCATGAATGATTAACCTGCTGAAAATGGGTGCTTAATTTAGCGTTTCGAGTTCTCTGTTTGAGCCTTCTCAGCACCCTTTCCCACATTGCCAGAAGTGAGAGTACGCTGGTGTGCGTGTGTGCGTTCGTGCTGTTGGTATGCAAGCATGTTTTGACAGTGTTCGGTAAGTTCCTTAACATTCTCTTTTGTTTGTCAGCTAATGAAACCTTCTACCAGTTCAACTATCTATTCATTTGAGAGCATTGAACCATAGAGTATGATTTGATGAGTTTGACATTATGATTATAAAAAGAATGATTTTTGCATGTTGATCTAATTTGAATTTCTCAGTTATTCTCTTTCTCAGGGGCTTTTCAAAATCTGTGTATCTGTCTGGTGTATAAAATGCAAGCTCTGTTCACTACACTACATTTAAGAGCATTTGACTGAATTTGGTCTCAGTATGTTTAGGCCTAATTGTACCAACCCTTTTCTGCAAAAATTCTGCAGATTATTGTAATTAATTCAGATATCAGTGACCATGTTTGTCAGATGGATTGCAAATACCTGTCAGATCAATTCAGATGTAGAGTAGACAACTCATTGATTTTGCTTTTTTCACCTTGTTTTTTCAACCCTGTAAAGCGAATAAATCATCCAATCAATAAATGTACACTAAGAAAGAGTGAGAAATTCACTGTCTATATTTTTTTCTTAATTAAAACTTTTTATATTATATTAACATTAATATTATTATAGTATTATTCATATTTAATACTATTATTATTTAACTTAAATTATATAAAGGTGATTGTGGCCAGTAATTAGTAATTGTTTGATAATTGTAAATAAAAATGTAGTAATGTAGTATTAGCAACGTCATATCAACCATCCAGAACATTCTAGCAACCTCTCTGCCTACATACGTTTGATATCAGCAATGTATCTTTATGAAGTACAATAATTCATGAATGATTAACCTGCTGAAAATGGGTGCTTAATTTAGCGTTTCGAGTTCTCTGTTTGAGCCTTCTCAGCACCCTTTCCCACATTGCCAGAAGTGAGAGTACGCTGGTGTGCGTGTGTGCGTTCGTGCTGTTGGTATGCAAGCATGTTTTGACAGTGTTCGGTAAGTTCCTTAACATTCTCTTTTTTTTTTTTTTTTTTTTCACCGCGATGTATCAGGTTGTACCAGGGCAGTTTGATGACGCGGACGAGACGGGGAGGTATGAAACTTCATCAACTTAAATTGATAGAGTAGGGTGACCATACGTGCCATTTTCCCAGGACGCGTCCTGGCCAGGATTTCTATATTGCCTAAAATATCTAGGTTTTGGCTTTGTTTGCGTGTGCAGACCGATCGGTGTATGACATCAAAGTACCATACAGACGGTTATGCTTTCGAAACGCTCTCGAGGTACTTTGATGTCAAACACTGATCGGTCTGAGCCGCACTGCTTTTAAGTCGAACACACCTAATAAGTACGCGTAATTGCATCGCTTTGACCGTAGATCCCACCTTCTCACACGCCATGATTGGTCCATTATGTACAATGCTTGCATGTTATTGGTCAAACTACTTTTCGATCATTACCTTCAGCAAGCATGAAAACAGGAAAACAAAGCCAAAACAAATCCTGGCCAGACATACAGCATATATTTTGAAAATATTTACATGTATATATTTATATTCATATAATTTATATCTATATTTAATATATAAACGTAACATATTTTTCTTAAATATATACATGCATGTGTGTGTATTTATATATACATAATAAATATACAAAGTACACACATATATTATGTAAACAACAACTTTCATTTTGGATGCGATTAATCGTTTGACAGCACTAAATATATTAGGCATATGACAGTATGAAATTTTTTTTTTGCAAAAAAAGTTGTCAAACTACAACAGGTTTAATAACTTTTTTCTTATAACAAAAATAACTGATCATTTACATACAATAAACTAACGTAATACACAAAAAATATATCAAGTAAAAAAATTCACGCAGATTAAAGTGCAAAAGAATTATAAAGACCAAGAAGTAACACTTTACAATATGATCTCATTAGTTAACCTTAATGCATTAACAATTAATAATGAGCAATAGCTACATTTGCTACTTAATCTTTGTTAAAAAAAAATACAACTGTTCATTAAATAACACAGTTGCACCTTTTGATTTTAACAACGTGTTATTAAATATTTAAATGACCTAAGATTAATGAATGTTTAGAATAATTTTTCATTGGCAGTTTGTTAATTAATGAATTAACTAATGTTATTAATAGAGACTTAATGTAGCCTAAAGTGTGACCAAACAATAAAGAATCAAAACATTTTCAAACAACATCTAGGGCATGTTGTAGTCCAGATAAAATGTTTAAAAAAAAGTTTTAAAATAATAGCCTATTAAGTCTAAATATTTAAGTATTTGGTGCTGTGATGAACACCACTGAGAATACAAAAATCTGAATGGCTCTTTAAACCATAGATTTGTATCTAATATGGTTTAAACCATTTAAAGGGGTCCTATTATGCTTTTTCACTTTTTGAATTTTAGTCAGTGTGTAGTGTGTGTGTTTGGGCATAAAAAAGATCTTCAAACTTACAAATCTCAAAGTCCACTCCAAAGGGAGATATTTCGTTTTTTTAAAAATCCCTTTCCAAGAGCTACAACCAACGGCTCGTTTGGACTACAGGGTTTCTTATTCAACCCATTAGAATATCATTATAATAATTCCCACCTACGGATATTCAAGTGGTTGGGGGGTGCTGGACAATGATGTAATCTGCAGAAGTTACACTTCAATTATGAGACTACAGTGTTTCCCATACATTGAGTGCGGGTGTTTTTATTTCACTGTATTTCTGAAGGACACCGACTGTCCTCAGAAAATTGGATGTCATTTTCATTTAATCTTGCATGTAATGAAAAAACAATTGAAACAAATGCAAAACAGTGTAAAGAAATAGTCTTTGTGAGAAGCAGTCAATCAGCAGGCGTGCAAAGGTTCTGAGCGATCCTCTTGTTCAATATTCTTGGGGTCTGAATCCAGCTCAAATTGACATGGCATCCTTAACTATACCGGAGCAGATGGAACTTGCTGCTTTGGCAAGGTAAAAGACCCCTTTAAATGTTTTTAGAAAGTAGTGCAGCTGCTTTATTTCCGGGGTAACTGCTGCATTTCTGCAGTTTAGCGTCATCTGCTGTCAGAGAGTGAATGTGCGCTTTTATTCAGCGTGTCTCCTTCACGTGTTCCACATGAGAGTGCGCATGCGTCTTTCATGCACCATACAACAGTGTAGTGCATTATGACCAGTCGATGGGGAAATATTCTTAGAATGCATTCAAAAAATCTGAAAAATTTGTAATAATTATTCACTGTATTTTGAAGTGCCCACGATTACAATATCGTGCATATTCATTACCGTGATATATCGCATTACCGAATACCGGCATATGTCTTGTATAAATATTAGGGCTGCACGATAAATCGCATGCGATATTTAACGCGCATCTTGTCAGAAAGCCGGTTCTGTAATCAGCGGTAAATCTCCATCACCTGCGTGCTTTCACATTGAGCAGCATTAACGCGTTAAATATCGCATGCGATTTATCGTGCAGCCCTAATAAATATACATATACATACATACAAACATACATCCATACATCTGTGTTGTGTACCCTGTATGGTAGCTGTATGTTTATTATGATGACAGAATGTGTTTCATGTTTTCAGAGAGGCAAACTGGAATTATTGTGACTAATTTGACTAATTTCACCAGCAAAAAAATAAAATAAATACATTTACAATTAATAAATACTAAATGGGTGAAGTTTACACAATGTGTGTGGTATTTCACAGTGAGCCTGAAATCAGTCACGTCCCTGACAAGCTCTCCCTGGAGAACCAACTGCATGAAGTTACTTTACAAACCTTCAAAAATGATAAGCAAGGTGAAAACGAGGAGGACTATGATGATGATGAAGATGATGAATGGGATTGGAATGAATCAGGAGGAGGAGACTTCACAAAGCGCTACACTGCAATGAGGGCTGGGAATAATCCACAGGTATTCGTTAAAGAAAGATCATGACCACAAGGCCAATGTTGACAACAAACCTGTGCCCATATTCACAAAATATTTTATCTTACCACTAAGAGTTCTCCTAAATAGCAGTAAAAGTTTTTAGCAAAGAGTTTTCTCTTAAAACCTATTCACAAAGCTGCTGAGACAAACTTTTACTAAGGAATAGAGATAAGGCTTAAACTAAGAGTATAGAGAATGAGGAGTTACGTCACGATCTTTTCACTCCGCATTGCATTTCGGGAAGGCGCCGCCATATTAGCAGGATACGCTATCCGTTCCCATGGTTACTTCTCATTCTCTATAAGGATAAATGCTTATCTTTTGTTTTGTTTTTGCCTTTAAGTTAAACAACCATTCATTCTTCATTGTATCGTTTGCAGGGAAGAGAAGCTATTTTATCGCACTGCATGATATGCACTGCATTTCTCTCTTAGGTTTTGTAGAATTTGGTTCACAGTGTTTAACGTTACCCGATTAGCGTGAAAACAGTGTCGCCCGCTGGACGCTCGCACTTACAGAGTGCAAAGTAACATTCCAGAATTTAACAAACACTTAACTAATATTAAGAAAGGACATAATTAAATAATATAAGAATAATATATAAATCCTGGAAGCTAATTCAAATAACAGAGGGTTATTTACAAAGACTATAATTCTTTACAACTTTTTGAATTATATTCTGCTGTAAATGCGAAGGAAGTAAACCTAAAATTATTTTATATATAAATAAGTACCAATGCTTGAGTATACGGGATGACAACGCCAGCCAACCAACCCGAGATTATTTGCCACATTCAAATAAAGATTTTAAAATGCAGGCTAAGTGTCACTAATTAAACAAGTATATGTTCAGCTAATTGTCTGCCTCTTACCTGTATGCTTCTCATGTCTAGTGAATATACATATAAACTGCCTTTTAATTAACAGAGTAGAATAATCATGGCTGATATAAGACATGCAAATGTAAAAGAAAACCAAATTGGACACAAGCACAGCTGTTACTTCTTGCCCAACTGATTAATGAAAACAAGGACATAATCAAAGGAAAAATTGGAGTTGGGATAACCTACAAAACGAAAGGCGATCCCTTTATAAAAGCTTGTCATCGTCAAATATTTCTAAAATGTTTACGTTCCAAGGCAGTTTGCCGGCAACAGCCATTTTAGGATAGTTTGTGGCTTGGTCTTTAGTGACCAGGAGTCCTCTTCACTACTCCTAATGTTTCACAGATTTAGGAGCTAGTTTTAGTGCTAAAACACTTTGTGAAATACTTTTAGAGCAAAAAGTTAGGAGTCCTAAATTTAGGACTGACACGCCCATTATTTTAAAGATTTTCTCCTAAATTCGGCGAGTTATGAGCTACTTTTAGCCTTAAGATGCTTTGTGAATACGGGCCCTGGTGTTTCTAGGAAATTGTGTTGGTTAAATGACAATATATAGTGTTTCCCCTAGGTTTACGGCTTTGGGGGGGGGGGTTCCGTTTTTTTGTTTGAAACGGTCAAATGCTCATGAAGTGACTCTCAGATAAGTTATGGAGATGTTGTTCATGTATTTATGTCCTCATTTAGTGAGACAGCAGACGCTAAAATCACTGCAAGCGTCACGCGTGCTTCAGTACGAGTGGTGAACAAAACCACACGTCTGCGCCATTCACTGACACAGAGACACGCAAAATTTATATTTAAATATGAATGGTTTTGCGGCTTACCTTTACAAATACTAGTGGGAGTGGGAGTGGTGTTTCTAGGAAATTGTGTTGGTTAAATGACAATATATAGTGTTTCCCCTAGGTTTACGGCTTTGGGGGGGGGGGTTCCGTTTTTTTGTTTTTTTCTGGACTCCTTTTTAATGGTTAAATTAAATTGTATTAATCAAAAAGCATGGGGGGGGGGGCGGAACTCTGCTGTGCGTGATACAGAGAGCGCGACTATAACGTAGAGACCGAAATGATATGCCGTCGTGTAAATAAGATAAAAAAACATAGGGCTATTTAGTTTGCTTAATAAAAGAACAAGGTATAGACCTGTTCTTTCGGAAAGGTAACTTTAAATGACTTCTGTTGTGATCTGGCGCTATAAAGAAAATATAATTAAATAAAATTAACT